AAATAGGGCCTACCTGCAAGTTATTTTTGGGGGGCGGGGTGGAGAGGGATACGCCACTGATGGGTATGGCCTATCGAATTATTTTTTTAGAACATTACGGATGGTTTATTGTTAGGAAATAGATTAACCTCATCCATAGGCCTTATTTAAAACTGAATGATCTCAGTCGCGTAAGTTGCCAAGAGGTTGGATCAGAGATATTGTTTCAATTAGTATTGATTATTTACAGAAATTGTTTCCTTTAAGATGATGCCAAACAAAATTAACAATTACATGAATTGTTACAAAGGTGGAATGATATTATATACTGTATCTGAAACTATATGCGTGTACACAATTTATTGCATCTGACAATTTTTTTTTCTTTCATTTATAAGGCCTACCTGCCATTTCAGTATCAAAAGGCCAGATCGATTCTGCTAATCATCAGATTAGATGCAACTTATAGACGTTCCCCCCGTTCACATTCCGACAGAATATCAGACGCCGTCTGGTACCGGTAACTAATGCGCACGGTACAACAGTATCTTCAGGGCCACTTCATTTCCGATCCATAGCCAGGTAGTTTCATCTACAACAGCTGGTCGCCTTCCCTCTTAGTGTTCCTGTTGGTGCTGAGTGGTCTTGGTGGTATAAAAATATTGAAACTGCATTTTCATAAAATTTATTTCGGATTTGTATGAATCATGTGAATTATGAAAACGATTATGAATAGAAGAAGAAAAGGGTTGATGTAGGCCCTCAGGAAGATTGAGCCGAAGGCATAAATATTTTTTTTGGGGGGGGGGGGGCGGCTGTCAATCTGGAGGGGGCCATTATTAGGGTACCTATGTAATTATTGAGGGCCCATGATGGTTATTTTTGAAAAAAAATATTGAGAAACAAAATGCTACCTGCAATTTATATGGGCACATGGTAAGCTTGGGCCCCGCGTATCTTGCCACTCCTTCCCCCTGCCTACTTAGGCCCATAATTATTCTATTGGAGGCGTTTATGTCTAATCAAATTCAGTTACTTCTATTAATCGCACTATTGCACATATATTACATACGGTAAATGTTTCAAATCTGCATCATAGCGGACAGCTGAAGTCGCTACCAACACATGTCCCGTAGCTAACATTTCACATCAGGGCATCAAATGCAGTGTCCATCCATACCGTACCAGGAGATTCGGGAAGAAGTTGATGTCATTCCTTTCGTCTATTCCCATAATTGGAATCACTCCGTCAAATGTATGCAATAAAGAGAGAATAGTAACATTAGGCTAAATTGTGCTTACACATAGACCTACACATACAATTACATCATATACAAATACATAAGACATACAAATACACATAAAGACAAAAAAAAACATAAGTCGCGCATGCAGATATGTCCAGCTATGCTGTTAGTTTTATAGTCCCGCCCTATCTTGGCCACTCTATGAAACAAATATATATTCTTGGCGTTATGGCGCTTGTGGGTTGTCATTTCGTTATCTTCCATATACGATAGCTCTTTTGTCTTTCTCCTTCCGTAGACCCATAATGTAATAGATAACGGTCGTCCTGCAGTATGCAATGCGCATTGAGTTTTTTTTTTTTTTCGAACTGCCAGAAATTACTCTAATCTTATTAAGAATTCTCCGAGACGCAGGCCTGTTGAGATCAGTTTCATCTGTTCCCTCGTGCTTCAACTTGTGGTTTTACAAGCCTGTTGATGAAAATGTGTGTTTTGTTTTGTTTTGATATAGCCTATCCATGTACTATAAATGATGATGTCGAGAGATTTTAATCAAATTATTTAAAACAAATGTAGACAGATTGAAATATTGTATATGGACAGCAAAAGAATGCAGATTTTGTTTTATACGTTATTCGATTATGAAGTGAAATGAAGTCAAAAATAATATGTTGGTTAGGTTGAAATATTAGAAAACATGAACAGGTAAATGCGATTATGGTGAAAATAATGACAATATGAATAAATAAAACTAAATCTGCATTCAAAAAGATGTCCAATTGATTGCATTGTCAATGTTACAAACGAGCAAATCGATTAAATTTAAATTAATGTTAAATTTAAATAGTTTGATGAACTATTGTTTATTTCAACATACATCATTTTAGTTCATTTTAATTATGCATATTTTATATGAATTTTAGGCAATGTATTTGATGTATATAAGGTCCATCTCTCATTTCGGCGTCAATATTCTCATGTTGCCGTCAGCTTATTATCGGTGGTACTCCGACAATGAGTAAATCATTAAAAAATCCGTTGCATGACTCAATGCGTGCCTTCTCCATAGTATAATCTATCTGAAATGACAAAATGTTTGTGAGCTTGTATAGCGCATTTTCTAGAACAGAAATAAAGAATAAAATCAGAATAAAAGATTGAAACTAAAAAGAAAGCGGTAAGAGGAAGAAACACAAATAGACGAGCGTAAAAATAAGATACATGTGAGAGAGATAGAGATATTGCCAAATAAGAATGGTTTTAGACGGCGCATACAAACCATCAAAGTACGGTAATATAGTACAACTCAAACATAGGCCCTTAAGCATAGTTGAGAAGCTGTGTCTTATACACATCTAGATGTGTATAAGATACAGCCCCCACCCCCACCCCACCAGTAAAAGTCCACTTTTAGGGCCGAGGTTTCTAGGTTTTTAGTAGCTTTTGTCTAATTAGAATAATAGACATTAATTTTACCCCATAGAAAATGGTCTTTAATTGGAGGTGGTCTTTAATTGGAGGGGTCTTTAATTAGAATGAGACCGGTACTTGAAAACCTTGAAAATAGCACAGCACAATAAAAAGCAAATATGAGCATGTTTAGATGAAACACTGAAGTAATTTTATACAATTATAAAATACTTCGAAACTCGATAACAGCACATTCACACAGCCAGCGTAAGAATGATTAAGAAACGGGTTCCGTATACCCAAAGGTGACCGTACCAGTAGGCCTACCTGAAATGAGATAATAAAAAAATGTAATGTTATAAATATTTCAGAACATGAAAATAGCACAACACAAAGCCAACATAAGGATGGTTGAGAAGAAACAGGCTCTGCATACCCGAAGGTGACCCGTACCAGTAGGACCCTACCTGAAACGAGATAATAATATTGACAGCATAATATTCAACAAACATAAGCATGAAACTAGTTTTCTTATCTAAATGAGAGCACGTACTGAACATGAACTGTAATTTAGTGAAACGCGAGTTAGCGTACATATTCAAATGCAATTAAACCTGTCTCTCAAACGTTTACACTAGTGTAAAATATTAAACACTGACATTCATTGTTTTTTTTTTTTACACGAACTTAATGTAAAGTAAATAAAGAGTCGGACACAAAGTTTGTTATATTTATTTTCACATTTTTAACCAATGGTAAATGATAGAACAGGCACACATCTCAAACGTTTACGCTAGAGTAAAATATTAAACCATTGACGTTTATGGTTTTTTAACACCGAATTTAAAGTAAAGTAAATAAAGAGTCAGACACAAAGTTTGTTTTATTTATTTTCATAGTTTTAACCAATGATGATGTTTTTACAATGATAGAATAGGGTGACACATCTTAACAAACGTTTAATTTTTAACACGAATTAAAGTAAATAAAGAGTCGGACACAAAGTTTGTTTTATTTATTTTCATAGTTTTAACCAATGCAATGTACACATGCAATTCAAATAGGCCTTCTCCTCAATTTTCCAACACACTATGATCAGAGTAAAAGCCAATTATCAATTATCATACCCTTTTACAAATTGACCAATCAAAAATAATCTTAATCTACGATTTCAAGTAAAGAGACAAAGACAACAGGTTTGCTCATATTTTATTCAGAAGTTAAATTCATGGTTACAAAGTGAACGTTTACGCCCAAATACCATGGACATGTTTCACACAATCAACAAGTACACTACATAGTACTTGCTTGTCTAACATAACAGAAGTTCAAAGTAGTAACGGTGTATGTAAAAGATGTTCTAAAAAGTATTGAAACTGTCCATCTGTGTAACAATACTAAAACTACTAAACACAATAAGTAATGTTTATTACTGCCATCAGGCAGATTTACACTCATATTTGAGGCACACTCAAATCCAGGCAGCTCCTGCTACCCTTTATCAAGTGACCTAAAAACAAACAAGAATAAAATAATAAAATAAAAATATTTATGAGATATTTACATAATTTGGTTTACGAAAGGGTTGGCTGCAAGCGGGGTAACAAGTAAAGATGGCAACCTGAAATTGATAGATATAGGTGGTTAGTTCTTACCTGGTTTGATGCTTGGATGTTCGAAGCGATGTCTTGCTGCGTTAGTCACCTACCTGTTGTTGAGTCATATTTTCAGTCAGTGTGTGCTTCGGGATACTTAACTTGCACAACTAGTTTATCATGTATTCGTCATAAGCCTAAGTGTTAGTGTTGTATATTGTGTAAATGTGGGTTTGTGTGTTGTGTTGCGTGTTGTTTTGTTTCTGTATTTTGAACAGACCCTTAGAAAATCAATGTATAAAATTTCCATAGTATACATTCTAAAGAAGTGTATAGACCCTATTGAGTATCTGTAGAATATCTATAGGCTTTTATAATATAAAATTGTTTCATATATTATATGAAACATTTTTAACCTCACCTATAATGTTCCATCAATTTTCAATAGCACTTTCTTAGACCTCTTATAGCGTTCTTATACAATTCAACAAACTACTTTGCTAAGAACTTTTTCTAAACAATACAACACATGAACATGCTTAGCAAAATAATGTATTGAATTTATAGCATTACTTCTATAGAAGCCTTTGATCTTATTGAATAGTTATAGAATATTTATAGGTTTAACAATTCATTTTCAATCCAAAATATTGTGTTCCATCAATTTCAATAGCATTCTCTTAAACCTCTTAGTGTTTCTATAGAATTCCGTCAACTATTTTGCTAATGGCTGAGACCTGTAAAATAATAATCACTCAGTGTGCTTCGGCATACGTAAGTTGCAGAACTAAGTTATCGTCAATCTTGCCGGCCTAAGTGTTAGTTCACTGCATGTATTTCATTTATATTAGTACATTTATCTAATGAATTAACAGACCATTAGCAAAATAATATATTGGATTTCTACTGAAATAATCCTATTTAGGTTTAGGGATCTTATTGATATAATAGAATATCTATAGTTTTATTAGTTAACTACATTTTTATTATACCTATAGAGTTCTACTGATTTTCTAGAGTATTCTAAACCTCTAAAGAGTTCTTATAGAATTTTATAGACTACTTTTCTAAGGGAATGTTCATAATTCATAATAGTGTGCCTCGGCATACTTAGATGGCACAACTGGGTTATCAAGCCTGTTTTTCAATTCTATTGTTACATTAATTATGATATTCTTAGATTTATTAAGAAATGTCAAAATATTAGACAGCTTTCGATTGTGCAACGACGATGGGAAGATCTTGGAGGGAATGACGTCACATAGAAACCAGTTCTCTTTTGTCCTTAACCAGGACGCAAAACATTTGCGTTGCCGTCGTGATCGAAATCCCCACAAATTCATCAATTAGTTAGTAGATCTGTGGAGCAAAACCATGAATTTTAACCAATAAGTTATCAAAACATAGGTGTATGATTACTTCTTGATTTCATCATGCGTTAGTTCTTACTATGTTTGATGCTTGGGTGTACGGTACGTCTTGATGAGAAGGATAATGTGTAAACGTCAAGAGACTCCAGTGGACAGGTATTAATTTCAATAATTTTTTAGTAATTTTGGTGGCTTCAAATTTAAATATTTGAGACTAGTGGCTTACTGGTAGATTACATGAATGCTGAAAGAATGGTATCAGACATCTGTAAATACAAATGAAAACACAACATAAATGATGAACCTACCTCATTCTTCACCATAACACTAGCATATCACTTTTAAATTCACTTGCTAATTCATTTTTTGTTTTATTGTAATTTCATTTATTGTATTTTTTTTTTTTCAAAATTAAAATTAAAATATCTCGTATCGTAACGATAATGATTATCTTGCACTGAAGATGATTATTAATGTATGGTGACTTTGATATGGTCACTATAGAATGTAATTTTATATTTTTTTACATATGAAATACAGAATACCAGTAAACGTTATTCCACTTAACCCGTTGTTTGTTTAGTCTTTGGGTAGGGTACTTTTCATTTTTAAAGTCACGTGTTTAATTTAGCCGGCTTGGGGCAACAGGGGGTTCCAGGAAGCTACAGAGATTTGAAGAATTTTGGTAAATTTTTATTAGTTATTTTATAGGCATGAAACTACCGTATTGATTGCATGTATGCCTATGTTTTTTAATGTCGAAATTCCAAAACCGAATTAAAAAAAAAATTAAAACAACGAGAAACAAAGAGTATGCAATGTAACCGACTAACTTATTTTCAAATCCGTTTTACATGTTATATTATTTTTAATAAAAAAGGGAAAAAAAACACTGTATTGCAGTATTACAATACTATCTGAATTATTAACAACAAAATTACGAATAAGAATAATGTCTTACTGTAAATTGTAAGGCCACCAATTTGTGACAATATTATAACGATGAATTAAGAAAACACAATGTCACCGGGAACGTCACAGTACAAGCCTATAATTCAAAGTAAAGTTATAAATTTTGGAAATTTTGCCTGAAATCTGTAAACCACGAGGTTGCTCCCCGATCAAGGTGTATTCCAAGCATCATGAGGATATCCAAACGAGCATTTGTCAAACATTTTTAATTAGTCCCATTGAACAGGTGCTGATCCAGAAATTTTTTAAACTCTGGGAGTGGCATTTGTATTTTTTTAATTTCAATAAATAATAACGCTGTTTTGACATTGACACTGTTCGGCTGACTTACGTTCCAATAGATGTTTGAAAGTAATTAATTCATTGTGAAGATGAATGAATATATGTTGTTTCATGGGCTTAATTCAAAGTAATATACGGTAGTCGGTTAACTTACAATAAAACGGCACGTGAATTTATGTTATTATTGTTATTATTTTTATTATTTTTATTTTTATTTTTATTTTTATTCAATATTATTATTATTATTATTATTCAATATTATTATTATTCAATATTATTATTATTATTATTATTATTATTATTATTATTATTATTATTATTATTATTATTATTATTGTTAAATAGGTCAATGAAGGCGATATGGTTGCTAAGCAAACAGGCATGTAATTTTTTTTTTATTCCCCGACGGGATGTATTCGTCTTCCCCGACGGGGGCTAGGCTTCCCCGACGAGGGGACTATAGCCCCCAGCCCCCCTCTGGCACCACCCCTGTATGATACGCGTCCTATATCCGAGCAAAGTGACGCAAGTTTTCATTATAATGTTCAGGAAATTTCCTGCAAATAACATGGAGTGTACTGGCTAATTTTGCTAACTGAGTTTTTACCGTCAATTTTAATGTTTAAACCATGCCGACAACGAATTACACTATTATTAAGAACAAACTTATTAATTTCAACAAAAGTTTATGAGGGTAGTTCATGCAGCCGGAGCTGATAAGCATATTAGACAGAAAATAAAATATTTGGTATTGCATGTTAAATTCTCATTGCAGAAGCCTACGCCTATCATATTATTATGTATAACATGGAACATAGAAATGCTAGGACGGGGATTTGATAGCTGTAGTCAGACAAAAAATGATGTAATGTACGTTGTAGATTAGTGTTAATAATAACAAGAATATAGGCCTACGAAATCTATTTATGACACTATTGGTGTCCATTTTTGCATAAATCTCGCCTAAAATTTACTAGGTTGTTTTAATAATAGCAATGGATATTTAGCAGACAAGACGTTGAGTGATATTATTGCAGTTCTATCAGTTGTTCCGTTATAAGTTTGGACTCCATTGAAATCAAAGGGTTTTCTCCAGTTCATAGGTTATCCATGTGTTCAAATGAAATTAGCAATACTTACTTAAATGAAATAGGCCTACTCGCCCACTGTCATCTCCATCAGATCACACCCTCCTCAATCGTCGACACTTAACACCGGAATAAATTCTTTAAATAAGAATTTATTCATAAACAGTTCTACACATTCTTCCCGATTTTACTTATTACCTGTATTCAAATGTTTGGCTGAAAAATGTAGCAGTACATTACTCAAGTATATTCACTTTCACCTGGTTTTCCGATATGCAAATTTGTTCTTTTCGATTGTCGAAACGAATTTACTCAGTGAAACTCGTAGTTATAGCCATTTAGTGGAAGATACTTTAATTTACTCTCAGTAGTAAAGATTTAATGTCAATAATATTTCATTTATTTTTATTTATTTTATTTTATTTAAACCATCTTTAGGCAGGATAACATATACAGACTAGATCTTAACTCTGTTTTACAATATGGTCCTGCAAAAACAATGTACAATAGATCTAACAACAAAAAATAAGGCGACAAGAGAACTAAACAATTAAAATGGAATGAATTTATGTTTGTTAGTTGTGTCTTATTAGTGTTTATTAAATCAGAACATACACCGGCTAAGTGATCACATGTCAAAATAACATTTACTGTAGGTTTAAATTAAAGCTAGGATCCGTAGAAAAAAAAATGATATATTGTACAAATTTTCTAGAGAGGCATTTGGGTAAATAATTGGGAAAGGTTAGAAGATACAGACTTTTATTATAAAGGGAAAAGGGGTGTCAATAGATAAACAAATTGGGGATAATTTATTTTTAAGAACATTCTTTTTCTATTTCTTTTCCAGAACTAAAATATTTATTATTTTCCTTGTACTGCTCAGTTTTGTCATCATTCCACTCAGTCAGTGGTCAATATCGATAATAATCCAGTCCAGTAAAAAGTTTCTTCCCTGTGCTTGTGTGTTTAGTGTTTGTCGCCCTCTCCAGGCTCAAACGCTACAAACAAGTTCGTTGGTGAGGCCAGATGCACAAACATACACAAGTTTTCATTTGATGATTATTATTATCAAGGTTATCGTTCTGTATTTCTATATGGTGTACGAGAGCTATATATATATTTGTATAGAATAAACTTGTCCTATTGCCAATATACACATCGGCCTTGTGAGTTCCATTGAGACTAGCCTGTACCGTATCTTGCGCACTTCGAGTAGCTGATTAATTGATTGATTACTTGATTAAATGAATGAATGAATGTTGATTGATTGATTCATTCATTCATTCATTGAATGGTCGGTTGGTCGGTCGATCGATTGATCGATCGGTCGATCGATGCATTGGCTGGCTGGCTGGCTGTTGGTTGGTTGGTTGATTGGTTTGTTGGTTGGTTGGTTGGTTGGTTGGTTGGTTGGTTGGTCGATCGGTCGACCGGTCGGTCGGTCGGTCGGTCGGTCAGTCGGTCGATCGATCGATCTCGATCAATAACTTGATTAAGAGGAAAAAATCAGTAGGTGAATTACAGCCTGTAATAACTGGATTTTTCATCTTGACTAATCAACATCCCCCTTCCCTTTCAATCAAATTTTATTTTTAGAGCGTCGTACGTTATTATTTATTTAAGAAGCCTCTGAATATCAGATGACTTTTTGGGATTTTTTTTATGGAGAAATTGCCTTGCGGTTAGAAAGTCGTATAAACAAATCCCATAAAGCACATGTGACTAAAACTAATTTACCTCAAAGCTTTCGCATTGAAGATCAGTAGCTAATGAACCCAAAGAAGACAGGCTGCTGGCGAAGGTACCTGTGATCTGTTTATATATTGTTAATTTACTAAATTCATAATGATTTTATGGTCTTCTTAAATGGATCTATTTAACATATCAGGGCTGGCACAATTTGATATAAACATTTCCAGTTATAAAAGAAAAAAATGCCGCATGTAATTCACACGATTTAAAATTAGATATTTATAAACGTGGGTACGCCTTATTTCCTGTGAGACCGACAATACATGGAAGGGAATTAATATGGTGACAACACCAGAAGGTGTAGGCCTACCGATAGGCCTATACAGATAAAACACAAACAATTTAACATTTCAACAACGATTCACACTACACTAGAGTCGGTATGATCAGTGGTGTAGGTACGGTATTTTATCTGTTCAGGAGGTTCGGTGAACCGGGGCCTCTGAGGTTCAGGGGCTCCCCGAAGTTAGAGACCCCGTATCCCCCCGTATACAAGGCCTATCAAATCTTACGGTATTTGATAATCGATCTATTAGTATTATATAATACTGTATGCATATAGTACAGTATAATTTCTGTCTATTATTATTTAGTGGTTTTTAGTCGGTCGGTCTGGCTTAGGTCTTCTGTATTAAGCCCAGTATCCAATTTTATGATGGATGTAAGTTGTGAATCGAAATGTTATTTTTCTATAGAAAAAATAACAAAATAACCTCAAGAAAAAGAACTAAGAAGTCAATAGAAGAATAGAAACGCCGTTATAATACAAAATTACCCTTGAGTCAATTTCTTCATCTTCATAATTTCAAAATCGAAGAGTATGTTGTATGAAACTGAATATTTCATAAATTAATCGAACGAACTTCTCCCTCAGGCACTGACCATAGTAAACTGTCAAAGAACGACATTTAGTCTGTCATTGCAGTCTGCTTGGAAGTCGAAAAGTTACACGCTTAATAGACATAAACCTTCCCAGACATTATGGTAGGCGTTGTAGGGTGGCCGCAGGTGATTATGAAAATAAGAAGTTAGTTATAGCATTAGAAATTACCTGAAACAGTTAAACTGAAACAGCTTTTGTAATTGTTCTTCTCTATTGTTACTCGTGTGAATATGCGACATGAATAACAGTAGAGAAGAACAATAATAAAAGAATCATACACATCACAAAATGCTTTGCTTAGATCAGCAGGGTCGACAATTTAAAATGTGAATTGATGAAATGTTATTGATTGTGTTAAGACGAGGAGAGCCACTGCCGTTAAGGTTATTAATGTGGGTGATGATGAAATGTTATTTAGAAAATGTTAAAACGAGCATGATGTTATGGTTATTAATGTGATTTGATTTGATTTGATTTGATTTATTTCGAAATTCTCACAAGTAAACAAAGTACAGAAATTAAATGAGTCATAAAACAACTATTAAAGAGAATTCAGAATAACCCTTTACGCATTTCAGCTTTTATCCGAAGGGGTCTTGTTGAAATAATAAGAAATGCTACAATGACAAATTACATAAATAGAAAGGCCAAGGCCTAAAGTAAGAAGCTTTAGTAAATACTGTAGTAAAATACTGAATAATTTTAAACAATTCGCTTGAAAGAAGAAACAGCTAAAAAAAAACTACTAAATGTATTAATTATATCATTAATTAGCATTAAATTTAATTTTCATTAACATATACAAAACTTGTGTATTTCAATACTTGGAGTATGTATTATACTTTCTTATCTGAGATTAATCAGTGGACCTTTCGGTTTTATACAAAACTTCATTTTAAGAAATTTAATAGACATTATTTAATTCATATATAAATAAATATGCCGATATATAAATTCAATGGCTACATAGTAATTATCTATTTACATTTAATTATTTAATTATGTAAATTACTTGTTTATGAAGTCAATACAATTTACGGTACGGTACATGGTTGCCAAACTTATTTAAGCATTATAATACATAGGCATATGCGGTATTGAATTAGTCCAGAGAGTCAATAATTAATTGATTTACAAATTTTAAAGGAAATTACATTATTGATACCGGTAATTTATATTGTACATGAAAAAATTTAATATATTTATCTTTTAAATTCATGTTTAATGATAGAATTTTTGATATGGTTGGGTAATTAATTCCAGAGGTGTATTTCGAAATGTTCTCCCACATATTGGGGGCATAATGAGTGATAAATATTGAAGACATGCTAAGCTGGAGCTGTGTAACGGCGATAATTTATAATATTGAGAATACATAATGATTATAATCAGGAAGTAGGTTATGGTACCACAAGCAGTATAACCTCGTTTTGAGTGCGTTGGGCTTTAGTCTTAACCATGCTACAATACAATATTCGATCATATAAACATTAGGGCTGAGCAAGTAATTTCTTAGTCTTCTGGTTGAGGAAAATGTGGTGCTAGATGAGGCCTACACTTAGTTTAGATTTCCAACTCAGACAGGCTCTCTTCTAGTAGCATTTACTAAATTCATAATGATTTTATGGTCTTCTTAAATGGATCTATTTAACATATCAGGACTGGCACAATTTGATATAAACATTTCCAGTTATAAAAGAAAAAAATGCCGCATGTAATTCACACGATTTAAAATTAGATATTTATAAACGTGGGTACGCCTTATTTCCTGTGAGACTGAGAATACATGGAAGGGAATTAATATGGTGACAACACCAGAAGGTGTAGGCCTACCGATAGGCCTATACAGATAAAACACAAACAATTTAACATTTCAACAACGATTCACACTACACTAGAGTCGGTATGATCAGTGGTGTAGGTACGGTATTTTATCTGTTCAGGAGGTTCGGTGAACCGGGGCCTCTGAGGTTCAGGGGCTCCCCGAAGTTAGAGACCCCGTATCCCCCCGTATACAAGGCCTATCAAATCTTACGGTATTTGATAATCGATCTATTAGTATTATATAATACTGTATGCATATAGTACAGTATAATTTAAAATGGTTGCAAATTTCAATTAAACAGTTCTGTGCTAGTTGTGAAAATTAGTCACAGAAACAGATACCAACGTGATCGATGAAATCTCAGCTGCAGAAGAGAGAGAAACGTCATCTCAAAATTAAGATGGGAGAACCGAGAACCAACCCTAACCTGTATCTGCACTGATAGGCATAGGCCTATAATACAGTTTCCCATGTTCAGGCCAGTCAGGTCAAAGTCAGCTTCACCAATATAGTTTACCATTATATATTGTTTATCTCTAATTGTAGTAAATTTACCGTTGGGTTTTGCCTTTATAGGCCAATTTACTCTCCTCTCGATAATCAACTAGTCCAAACAGATTTAGGACTTGGACTGAATCTAATAGAATGTCCTTTAACGTTAGAAA